TGACCACCGTGTCTTTTCCTCGAAATCAACCGTTCGATCCAGCTGATTTCGCTATTTTCTAATTAAACGCCTCCCACCGAGGGTTTCTTTCTTTTTTTTTTTTTTTTTTTTTTCGTCGGTATATTCGAATCGCGTTCTGGTTTCGTCGGCGTTTAACCCTTTGCCCTCGGAAACTTTTCCCGTGTCATCTACCAGCAATTTATTTACGAAGTAGTATCACTTCAAGTAAAATGACACAGCGTGTGGGAGTAATCATCCGTGTTGAAATGGTGTCTGGCGTGAAATTTCCGTTGATCGTATCTTGCTGACGTGTGTGATATCTCGTTTAAGGTTTAAGGAAATTTTTCGCCAGCGTATATTCCTCCGAAAGTATATCGAAATAATCGAAAATTTAAGCTTTTTATAATATAAAAATTATTCTAAAAATAATCTAGGCGTGGTACAATTCGAAACATGGGTCAATATATAATCCTACGTCACATTTCTTACATTCGCAATGTGCACTACACATTTGCGTGTTTTTGTGATTAATTTCATAACATAATATGATATATCAAACAATAAGATAATATAAAATAATCACATGTTTGAATAATATAATGTATGACTAACGGAAGATGTAATTATTAAATTAGAATTCACTCACGTCTGATCCAATATCTTTTTCTTTTGCAATTATTGTCAATAATATTTGCCAGGGGTCTACGTTCGTCATAATTATATTTATATTATAAAAACAAAGAAAGAAAGTCCGAGCTGTTAGCTCAGATATAAGATGTCTTCTGTACGAAACGACAGTCGAGTGCAAAGGTTAATCGATACTTTGATCTTTTGTATCGTCAGTTGACTCAATTTGCAATTTACGATTTAAATTAAATAACTCTTGACTGTCTCCTTCGCTGCTCGGAATCCGATAAATTAAAAATTTCCGACGCAGGAAAAGCAAAAATAAAAGTGGTAGAAAGATCGTATTGAAGGTCTTATTAACCCTGTGATTTAAACATCTTATTAATCCTTTGACCCGGCCCTGGTAAAATAGCCGAATGCAATTAAAAAAGTGAGACCATTTTCATGCCACTTTGAATAAGTGTCGCAGATAATGAGTATATAAAATAATATGTATATGCTTTCGTTTCTCTTAATAATCGCAGCTTGTTTGGAGCACGTTTGAAAGCGGCGAACGTGTAAACCAACGTTCACACTCTTCGAACAATATTCCTTTTTCTCAAAGTTTCTCCATGTTCGTTCAGCGTTTGCAAACGAACATCGTCTTTGTGAATTTCTTTTTCTCCGAGCCGCCGCTGAAATTTCTATAAAATGTCTTTCCATTAGACGTGTCCCGCGGGCAAAATGCAGCTCTCGGGTGTGAGTGAGCGCGTTTGTTTCCAGACATTTGACGGCGTTTATTCTCCGACCTGTTACAATGTATCGTTTCTATCCGAATTATTTCCCCGCGTAATAAACTTGCTTATTTTCAAACATCTTGGCACGCTCGTACCGCTGCACCTTTCACATTTCTCTACACGTATCGCGTACAGATCCAACGGTTGGAACAGTTAACAAGTTTATCCCTCGATGCACTTCTCTTCATTCGAAGGCTGGATTAATATTTCGCGGGCGTAAATCAAGGAATGCATGGTCTACGAGGCGTTCGAAAATGAAAGCAGAGACCCCCTCCCCCTTCCCTTCACACTGAGGAGAATTTTCCCCATTTAAACGCGTAACAACGTTTCTTTTCACTGCTGTCTCAATTAGTAGTTGGTGACTAAAAATTGTAAAGCCTTCCCGTTTAATTTATTAATTGATCAATTGTCACGCGAGAGGGCCTACCATTGTTGAAAGGAACGACACTTGTAATTTTAAGAGAGGCTTTTATTCTGCCATTGCAATCGTGGTCTGTTTGATGAAAAAGAGTGCTCCTCTCTTCTCAGCACGTCTTCTTATATTTTCGTTTATGTCAAATTAAAGGGGGAAAGCAGCATGGATGACCAACTGTTGGAATTTGTCCTATGAATAAGTAATTCGCAATACCGTCAGGCCTGGTTGGTCATCCAACACCATTGTATCTTTTTCCAAAAAAAAAAAAAAAAAAAAAAAAACTGAATCCTTTTCTAATATTAGAAAATCATTCCTCCTCCCCCATCATTCGCCAATCTCTCACCGCAGAATCTTCAGAAGCTCGTTTCGAACTCGGGGATTCCCGCTCGCAGCGTTCGTTTCGGAACGGCGATTCACATTAAACTTGAAACGTGACACAGGCACCGGGGATCCATCCACCCCGGCAAGAAGAAGGAAAGAAAAGAGGAACGGAAAAACAAAGGATCGTGAATAAGCGTGTACGTCGGATTTTAAGAAACCGTGACGAGACTCGAGACGTCCGGCTGACTGACATTTAGCAGAAACGTGAAACAGTGGGGTTAATGGTGCCAGGCCTTGGTAACGAGTGAGACACAGAGAGAAATAGAGAGAAAG